CATAAGCCAATACTAGGTTCTTTATGAAACCGTACCAGAGAGAGAGGTTGTCATTTCTCACAAAGTGGCATAACTATACTTGATCTGGAAGGTCTTGGAGATTTCAAATGCATCAAAGATTCTTCCCTGTGCCTATTGCTGGAATGTTCTTGGCTGGTCCAGAAATGTGCTTTCCTTAGAAAGTCATTTCCACGTCTTACTCTTCTGCAAAAACATATTCGGAGCTGAAGTTTCTCTTCTCTGGCTTCAGTCCAAATGCTAGATATCTCTAAACCTAGAAAACACAGTGTTCCCGGTGTACATTTAACTAGAATGCCCATGACTGAAAGTTGTAAAGTCATTAAACCATTCACCAGAAAGCAGCACATGCCAGTGAGAAGATTAATAGCCTCATTTGTAACCCAATCTGACTTCATTTTCATTTCCTTTTTACTGCCAGTTTTCTTTTTTAATAGCTAGTCGTTCTTGCCAAGCTTTACATAAAGTAGGTTGTTGGGGATTTTATTTTGTTTTTGTTTTTATCAGCTCTGATTTCAGATTAAATCACAAGCTAACTGCTTGTGTGGTATTTTGCCAAGATCTGCTGTTACCCACGTTTTCAGCTGCAGATGCCACGGGAATCGGTGCAGTCTGATCCAGAGCATCTCAGAGCCTGGTATTGTTTAACCGGAGCCTTCCTACAGGAAATAGACCCGGGGCTGTCTAAACAGCAAAGAATTGAGCAGCTCTTAATGTGGAACTTCTGAAGTACTGTTTTGGATTTAACTTCCTCTACTTGTTTGTAACACAGGAGGGAAAAAATAGTAGTTACGTTATCAAGCATAGAGTTCTTCCTGATGAAGGCCAGCAGAAGGGTTTACACATGCTGAAGCCAAAGCTGTTAGCCTCTGGGTGTGGTAGAAGTACCTACATTAAGTAATTGTGTAATTAAAACCCATGACATAACGCATAATGGAAGTTGCAGAGACAACCTTCAGTTTGAAACTGGGCTCTGCTGAAATCTTGAGTTTGTGCTCTTGAGTTCTAAGTCTACAGCTGCTTGGGCTTCTGCTCCACTCCTGGGATCACCAGGAGCATTAAGTTAAATAAACCAGGGTGAGTGGTTGGAAGCTGAGACCCTGCACAGCAGCCACCTCATCAGACTTCCAGGAATCAAACTTCTTGCTGTGATTTGGGAATGGAACCACAAAAGGTCTGGTTGGAGTAGGCAGATGTGGTTGTGAGAAGAGGTGTGGGAGGAAAGAGTGTGCTGTAGGCAGGGAAAGGCAGCCAGAGTGGAAGCTTAGAGCTCCCCATGCAGCTGAGAACACACGGTGTAGTTTGTGTTATTTTCTAGCTGTTGTATTTTATGGCATAGCCACATTTTACTTTCCTTCCATTAGATAAAACAATTTGGTTTAATGAAAAACTATTTGTTCTTTTCTTTCCAGGAGGTTCTATGACAGAAGTATCCCAGGCAGACAGGGACCGGTGAGTAAGAGATGTCTGCACAATAATTAAACACTTAGCACTTCCAAAATAGTCTGGAAGCAAATCCTTTGGAAACCTTAATTTTATGCTCTGATGGGCAGTGAGCACTGATGATGGAAAAACCCCATGTTTACCTCCATTGTTCTCGTTAGCATTACTCATGCTCATATACGTGCTGAAAAAACTTCTCTGATGCAAGTTTTTGCTCCAAATATAAGAGGAACAAAACTACTTCTTTTTCACAAATAAGTCTGCTGCCAGAAAGTCTTAAGCTTCCATGTGCCCAGGAAAGGCCTGGAGAAACTGCAATATGGGAAATGTGAAATTTCCATGTGGGGTCTGTCTTTTGACTCCAAAATGCTAGAAATGAGGAATTTCTTTCCTATGTGAGCACTGTTGCTGCATGTTGCAGATTGAAGCAGGTCTTGGATAACTTTTGGATAACTTTTGGAGGATATTAGAGCTAGTAAGAAACAAATCTTTCCTGGTCATTGACTCAAGGTCAAAGGTTGGGTGATGTAACAGTGGTAAAAGTGTTTCTTGGGTTGTGAACATGGAGTGTGAAATGCTTCAGGTCTGTGGAAATGTCTGATAGATAAGCACCAATCTCTGCCCATTCTCAGAGCAGTTGCAGAACTTACACCTATGTGTAAATGAAAATGTGAGCAAACACTGGTGATGGATGTAGTAAGAATGTCCGCTATGCAGAAATTATACAAATCTAGCTAGAAGAATAATTCCTGACAGAGCTGAACTTCATTTGTCTTTGGCAGGGCCTGCGAGAACGTCTGCTTCATCGGGAGGCCGTGGAGGATTGTGGATGGGAATCTGAACAAACCGGTGTGTAAGGGGATGATGGAGGCTGTGCTCTACCACATCATGACGAAGCCGGGCGTAACGGAAGGCACGCTCTTGCAGCACTACACCGGGGTGCTGCAGCCTGTTGCCGTCCTGGAGATCCTGCAGGTACGTGAATCACCAGCTCTGTCAACTTCAGTTGGGTTCAGCTTGCACGTGTAAGAGTCAGAAAGGAGTTTGCTGGAAGTCCCAGGAAAACGGGATTGCGAAGGAACCATGAAAGACAGCCTTCTCCCTTTAGTGTAAACTAACCAAAGCCAGGGCAAGTTACTGCTCAGGATGAAGAAGGAAGGAAGGAAGCCTGCGTTACCCATCCTAGGAATTATCCTATTACTGATTCTAAAATTTGAGCTTGCTTCTCAAATGGATGTACATGCAGTTGAAATTGTAGCTGGTTACTGAGGAGTGGTGGCTTGTCACTGTGAAATATTAAGTTGGGCTGTTTAATGCAGTGTTAATCACCCATAGAGTTTATCTTAAATTTTTCCTTATATACCTTTTGGATGGGTAGTCTTTGACATAAAAATCAGACTGAATTTGCTAGACAGAACTGTAAATCAGATCTTCTGTCCTGACAAACCTACTTAAAGGCAGACATCCTTAATTGTAAAACATTGTGGTGAAAAGATTTGAGTTTCTTGTATTTTTTTTCCCATGTCTTCAAGTTTGATTGCCACCGTTGCTACTCTGCAAATGAAACCTTGATTATTTTTTTTTCCCCCTGACAATGATTCAAAATCTTAAGTAGAGCTGTAATATTGCAGTCCTTCCCATAAGTGTGACTTCCCTTACAAATGCTGAAAATAAATATTCCAGCGTATCTGTGCCACACTTCTGTCCAAAGGCTCCTGCATTCTGGTGACAACGCAAGTTGTGTTTGCTACCGATCGTGCACTGAGCAACCCCCCTGTTTCCAAGCTGTCCCACACATTGTGAGGGTTGCTGGGACCAGGGACAGGCAGAGCAGCAGCAGACGGGTTTATGACATTGGTACTGGGTGTACAGCAGTGAGGCGCACGCAGGTGGGAGAGAAATACAGATTCCTAGGCTACTTCTGTTCAAAACCACAATGTCAAGGAATTACTTGTACATTTTACAGATCGGAGAACGTGAATCTAACTTCTCTATCAATACATTTGATAAGAACTAGTTTTGAAACCATACAAAGAGCTTGTATTTATAATATACCAAATGTTAGTAAATCTAGATGCGTGCCTATGTGAGATTACTGCATACACAGCAGCTGTTTTCAGCACACACAGCACAATAGACTGCCTGGCTGGGAGCTGCTGTGGGAATGAACATTAACCCATGGGCAAGAACTGACCCAGAAGTCTGGGATTTACACCTATACCAGCCTTAAGTGATTTGTAACTGGTATTAAACATTGAGATCTGTTCTTGAACACGTTCTGGCCAGCCACTGTGCTAAAAGTAACAAACAAGAATATATCCAGCCACATGAACTTGTGGTGTTATGCTGTAATCTCTGCCATCCCCGTGGTCTCCCGATGGGGTGAAGCCACTTTTAATATAAATTGTCTAATGTTTCTGAGAACACTGTAGATAGAACAACATTCAGTGCATTATTTTTTTTTGCCATAACTGCTCAAGCCAAAATACGTGAATTTTTCTGTAGGGTCTGGAAACTCTTGGTTGCATCAGACGATTCTACATGAAAAAGCCATCCCCGGTGTCGCTGTTCTCTCAGCCAGCTATGGAAGAACAACTGGATAATCCCAAACTGAGTGAAAGCCCAACGATATACTATGAGCCTACGATAGACTGTACCCTCAGGCTGGGACGAGTGTTCCCCTGTGAAGTGAACTGGAATAAATGGGTGCAGATTATCCCTGTATGAAAGAGGTAAAGCTGAGTCACATTACATGGGGTTAGCCCCTAGGAGTGACTGTTAATGCAGACTAAATGTTATAATTTGTGCTCCATCATATTAAGTTATTTATCTTTCTACTTCTGAATGTATTTAAACTGAGAATAAAGCTTAATGTTGAGATATAAATAGTATTTGATCCCACTTTAAGTATATTCTTTTTTTACCAATAATTGTCTGTAGAAGGGGAACAGTTTTAAACTGAAAAAGAAGAGATTTAGATGAGATCTGAGGAAGTTTCTTTGGTGTGAGGGTGGTGAGAGCCTGGCCCGGGTTGCCCAGAGAAGCTGTGGCTGCCCCATCCCTGGAGGGGTTCAAGGGCAGGTTGGAGGGGGCTTGGAGCAACGTGGTGTGGTGGGAGGTGTCCCTGCCCAGGGCAGGGGGTGGGCTTTAAGGTCACTTCCAATTCTAGCCATTTTGTGATTCTGTGACTTTAAACACTGTTTTCTTGGTGTGCATGGCATTACTTTACTCTGTGTGTTTTCAGCACAACCATGGCCCTGTGGGAAGGGCCCTTCCCCAGTACCACACACAGCACAGGGCTTACGGATGTTCTGTCGTTTTTAGTTCTTCTACCTCAGGTTTTAAATAATTCACACAGCAGACGGTTTCTGACACGTTTATTGCAGGAGAAAACACACCAACCCATCCCAGCAGGGCGGGCGCTCCCGGGGCCGGGCCCCTCACCTCAGCGGGGGGACCATACCCGGGGCCGGGCCTATCACCTCAGCGGGGGAGCTATGTCCCGGGGCCGGGTCCCTCACCTCACAGCGGGGGGGACCATGTCCCGGGGCTGGGCCCCTCACCTCAGCGGGGGGACCATCACCTCAGCGGGGGAACCATACCCGGGGCCGGGCCCCTCACCTCAGCGGGCCGGGGCCGGGCCCCTCACCTCAGCGGGCCGGGGCCGGGCCCGGGCCCAGGC